GCCGGTGTGGCTTGCTGAGTACTGTGGTTGTACTCATTCTTGCTCAATCTTCCCCCCCCCCTTCAGTAAGAGAAGCTTTGGAGAAGAAGTCTTAGGTGGAGTCCTGGCTTATACCCCAGTTGAGCGCCTGTGAAGATGGAGTCGTAGGCCCGCTAGTCCGCTGCTATTTATTTTTGATTGTCAGGCCTTAAGTGCCTTTGTAATAATGCAAATATTATCGATATAATAAAGATGTGTCTTTTATATCATGTTTGTGTGGTGTACCCCGGCTTTTCCTGGGACAGGGATTAATACACTAGCGTTCGGGAAAATGTATTTTTCTCGGTCGCGACACCTCCCTGGGGACCCCGGGCATATCTGACGGCTTCCATGCGAAAACGTCAGAATTTGCCCGCGGGAAGGAGACGAGCGCGCCTTCCTATTTGGCGTCCAAGGTTCCGCCAATCTTGGCGGTCTTGGACGGATCGTCGCCAAGGGGCATTTCCTTGACGGGCACCTCGTCAGCCGAGGTGAGGTGCTTCTTGGAAGCGCGGGACGCAGAGGCCTCGGGGGCCTGTGGCTCCGTGGCCACCGCCAGGTTGTCTGCACGCTGCTCCGCGCAGGCGAGGGCAACCTTGACATCACCAAAAATGGTGATGGGACCAGCAGGACCCGGCATCTTCATCTGGAGGTAGGCGTAATGGGTGGCGGCCATGAACTTCACCAACGCGGGTCTGCCTAGAACCGCGTTGTAGGGCAGATTGAGATCCGCCACATCGAAGTCAATCCGCTCGGTGCGGAAGTTGGTGGAGTCACCGAAGGTCACCGGAAGCTCTACGTGGCCAAGCGGCCATGTGTGCCCCGGAGTAACGCCAATGATTAGGAGCGACGGCTGGAGCTTCATCCCCGGGGCTTTGAGCACGTCAAAGGCAGCCGGGGAGATGATGCTCAGACTGGCCCCGCCATCCACCAGCACACGCTTCATCTTGACGTTGTAGATGGTCGGGGAGACCACCAGGGCCAACTTTCCCCCCCGAGCGAGCATCGTCGGATGGTCGCTCTGGTCGAATGTGAGCTTCACCTCTGACCAGCGCGCCTTCCGGACCACCTCATGCGTGGGAACAGTGGCCAGAAGCTCTCGTCTCATGGCCTTGAAGCTTCGGCGAGAGGTGTGAGTGCAAGCCCCCCCGTCGAGCGTGGCGACGGTCCCCTGAGGTATCTAGAAATCCAGATCCTCACTGTCTCCGCCATCATCGGCGGGGGCCTTGTTCTTGGCCTCCTCTCACCGGTCGCCGGTCGAGGTCGCGGGGGCTTTGCCCTCCCGTCGACCCTGCCGCTTCTCCTCATCAGCCTTTCGAAACCACTCGGCCAAATTCCTGACCGAGCGGCAGTCGGCGAGACTGTGGCGGTAGGTGTTGTGTACCGAACACCACTTGTCCGCCAACCGGCCCTCGCCATAGGGAACGGTGAGGCTCGGCTTATCGCCGGTGGCCTTTCCTTTGCGCGGGGCCTGCGTGAGCCCGTCTGCTGCAAGGACATGGCCCTCGTCATCGGAGCGGGCTGGTTTCCTTTTGCCTCTCCTATCTCGCCGCTTAGAGCGGGGGGCAGACTCGGGGGTAGCCGCGGCCGCCGCACCGGTGCTGGGAGAGTTCCAGGCCCACGCCTCCTCCTTCCGGGCCACCTTGTCTGCCAGCCCGAAAAGCTCGGCAGTGGTCTCGGGCTCCTTGGAGGCGATCTTCTCCAGCATACGATTATGTCGCACGCTGTTCCAGAATGCATATACAACCGCGTGGGCTGGAATGCACGGAATAGTGTTGCGGACCTGACAGAAGCATTGTATGTACGAATGGAGGGACTCGTCATCCTTCCGCCGTATAGCGTGTAGGTCCGCCTCTTCCCCCGGGCGGGGATACGTGCCCTAGAAGTTCGTGATGAACTGCTGGCATAGGTCCTCCCAGGAGTGAATGGAGTCGGGGGCTGGGTCATCAATCAGCCACGCACCTGACCCTTGAGGGCCATGGGAAAGTAATTCGCCATGACCCGGTCGTCACCCCCTGCCGCCATGATAACCGTGGTGTAGATCTGGAGGAACTCGGAGGGATTGATGCTACCATCATACTTCTCCGTAAGGTTGGGGCGAAACTTCGGGGGCCACCGGACATTCCGGAGACTCGCCACGAAGGCCCTACAACCCGTCCCCCCAGGGGTGAGTGTGGGAGGAGGGCCGCCTCGTGAAGAGGAGCGTGGCGCTCCAGATGAGGAGGCGCCTTCCCCCATACGGGCAGCTCGGCGCTCGTCCCGGCGTCGCTCGATGTTTACTCGAGCGTCCTGCGTCCCGTAGAGGCCGTCATGATGCCTTCGGCTTCCCGAGGCCCCCGACGATGTTGGAACCGTGGACCGCCTCGAGATCGTGGCCGATCGACGAGCCCTTCTCCTCGCCGACGAGGAGAGGGTGACCGAGGTACGTGATGTACCAGTGGCAGTGGATCGGCCACCCGTAGCCAACTACCGCTGGGCAGCAGTGACCAAGTTGGCCACGTCGTCCAGCCAGCGCTGAACAGGAGTCTCCGGCTCCGGGTTTACCGGGGGATGCCGTAGAAGGGTGCCTGCTGCCTGAAGCGCGCCTTGGGGTGAACCGCCGTCTCCATAGTCGAGTCGGCGGCGTGCCCTGACGCGTCGCGGTCTCCCTCCGCCAGGGGGCGGAGAGAGAGCCGAACCACCCGAACGAGTGGGATCCTCCCTCCGCGAAGGTTCGCGGCGGGGAGGGGTTCGAGAACCATGGCGACGGTGACGAGGACCTCGGCTCTCGCCGGAATCCCCACTCCTGGACGGGGTGGGGGTAAATGCCACCGCCTCCTCCTCTACTTCCAGGACCTTGACCATGGTCGGCTAAGGCCTGGAGAAACTTGGGACGGAAGAAAACAACTTCCTCTCGGAACGCGCAACCGCCCCCTACCTGGTGCGCCAGCTGTCGAGGGATGGCCCCCCGATAGCGGGAGGTCGTGAGACCCCCCCTTTCGTGAGTTCGGCCGGGGGCGGAGGCCCGCCTCTCGGAAATCACTCGCTCGTCCCTAAGATTACCGGCAAGCTTGCACGTAGTGGGATTATACAGGTTTGGGCCGCTATAGAGCGTAACACCCTACTCCTGTGTTTGGGATTATTGATGAGTTTTACAAGGGTTTCTTCCCCCCAGAGAGCGCACCTGCTCCTTCTCCTCTCGAGCTCAGGTTTTCTGGGAGTCGTCCCCCTATCTCAATGGGCAGGGTCCTCCTTTTATAGCTTAAGGGGATACCACATGTGCCGCCTCTACCTACCCTCCACCGGGGGGGAACCCCACTCCACTTTTTGGGCTTTAAACCGGGCCTTCTCCCGAAGCTAAGCAATAACCGATTCTCGAGTGGAACCCGGCGCCGTCCCCTGCCTGACGCGGGGGATAGCCCTGTCATTCCCTCATAAATGAACAATGACACGCAACAGCCCTTCCTCGAGCGGCGCTCGGATGTGACGGGTCATACCCACCCCCACTCCACTGGGGACAAGGGCGACGTGAGGACATGATTGCCCTATCCATCGGATGTGACGGAGACGGGCCGGTCACAGACCGGTCACATCCGATGGACAAGGGTTCGTAAGGCACGCCGCACGTCTGCCCTTACCGCATTAAATGCGGTGAGGGACAGTTGGGGCATCGCACATTTATGGCTGTTCAGCCTGTGCTCCCCTCTTGCTCTCTCCCTCTGCCACGTGGTGACCGGGTGAGGGCCTCGGGGCGAAGCCGCGGAAGAGCCTGAGGGGTGACGTCATGCCCCGAGCCCCCCCCCCCCCCCGGCGCTTCCACGACTCGCGTGACGCGCGAGCGGGGCCAACCTGCAGAGTCATGTGACCGGAGGGAAAGTAATTCCCCTCTACTTCACATACCCCCATGCCCATATCTCCGACAAGATCCATACCCGAACTCTTCCGAAGACTTCCGGACTCATGATTTCTACTCTATTCCTATTCCACTAGCTTAATACTACTAAACTAAACTTGAGAGAATATGAGAGAGCTTTGCTTGAGGTGTGTGAGTGAAGTGAGGATGAGAGCTCTTTTTATAACTTGAGAATGACGGTTGCGACGGTTGGAAAGGTCGGTAATACCCACCAACCATCATTGGGGAGTCATCTCAGCCATCCAGGAGAACCCTGGATCGAGTGGCGCTGCGGGGGGTTTGGCCAAACCATGGGCTGGGTCGACCTGGCCCAAAATCGGCAGGTGGCCTCCTCCTTTGCTCTCTTTCACAGACTTGTGAATTTTGGCCCAATTCATCATGTCAATTCTGAGTTCTTGGCCCATTCATGCATAAGACTGATTCTCGACATCGTCCGATTGATTTATCGTTTGAGTTGATGTCGATTCTCCTCCACTTTATGGTTATTCTCTGCAAAAGGTTAGTGAACCTAATACTAGTGGAATATTATTATTCTAACATGTATATGCATTGCAAGCATTACTAGTTCTCCTCTATTTTGGTAATATTGACGGTCGAAACTGATCGATAACCACCGTCAACAGGTGGCATGTGCATGGCAATCCAGTTAGCATTTTCTTTTTTTAAAAAAAAAGTGGTGGGACCCACATGTCATAGCTTCTCTTCCCTCTCTTTCTCTCGTGTCGTCGAGCATGACCGCAAGTCGAGCGGCGGGCAAAGGCGGGCACGCGGTGGGTGGCGGCGCGAGACGCGGAGGTGGGAGCGGCGAACTCCAGGAGGGAGCCAGAGTGGGGGGCCCGGAGGCGGAGCGAAGGCCAGACGGCGTTGCCGACAGCCCATAGGTGGGAGCTGCCCCCGTCTGATCTCCCTTCCCTCCAACCCCCATGGTGACGCCGCCACCCCTTCCATCGCCACCGCATCATCCTCCCAGACGACTTCTTTTTGTCCGCCTCCATCTCCTCCCCTTCCCCATCCACCTCCACTCCCCCTCCCCCTCCCCCATCCCCTCTACCACCCCGCGCGCCACCTTCTGCACCTCCTCCCTCCCTCCTGCCTCCATCCCCTCCTCCTTCGTTTCCGTCTCCGCCTCCTCCAACTCCCTCCACCACCACCCACTCCCTCTCGGCATCCTTCGTCTCCGCCTCATTCCGGCTCCCTCTCGGAGTTCACTGCTCCCACCATTTGCGCGCCGCCGTGGACGGTCACGGCGTGACCACCTCCCATAGAACACATCCACGTCCCCCTCGCAGACGACGTGGACCTCCGATCACAATGGGGGCAAGGAGATCTAGAGGCGGATGCGCAGGTGGTGTGATGAGGACGGCGAGGATAAAGAGGAGGAGGAGAAGTGGCGCTCGACCTCCCCTGCGGACAGCGCCGGCCGGCCCGCCCTTGGCTTCTCTCCGCCGCCGCCGCCGCTGTAGATAGAGATGGAGGAAGGAGGTACAAAAAAAAGAGAGGAGATATAAAGACTGACATATGGGTTCATTACTTTTTAAAATATTTTTTCCACGCTGAAATGCCACGCCAGCAAGTCTATCCCAAAACCGCCTACAATAGTGCTAGGGGGTAATTTGTCTAGTTTGTATAGCTAAGGGTGTCAAATGTTTGTTTTTTGAGTTCCAGGGGTAATTCGATCGACCACGATAGTTCAAGGGAATTCGTACTTTTCCTTCTCTTTTTATGGGAAAAGTCCGAATTACAGCCCCTACACTTTTTGGTGAGTACGAATTACCCCCCCTAAACCCGAAAACAATAGCAGCTTTGCAAGCGGTTTTGATCCTATGTGGCAGTCCAGTCAGCAATTCTTTTATTAAAAATCAATGGGACCGGCCACCTGTCATACTTCTCTTCTCACTATCTATTTCCCCTCTCACACCTTTCTCTCTCTCATCAGATGCCGTGGAGGAGGCACGCCAGCGGGTGCATGCATCTCGTTGCGGAGGCCGAGGAAGAGCCGCGTGCCGGCAGCCCCGAGTTGCCTCCACCCCCGCCCCCGTCGACCGCTGCCCTTGGCTCCCCCTCCACCGCCCCGATTGCCTCTGCCACCGCCCCGGCCCATTGGTCACTGTCCTCGGCTCCGGCTTCGCATCCCGACTGCCTCCACCCCTGCCAATGACGGTGGCTCCCTCTCCACCGCACCAACTACCTCTACCCCTCCCCCGTCAGCCACCGTCGTCGACTACCCCTTCTGCGCCTAAAGCTGCCCTCCCCCCTCTGCATCTGCCTGCCGCCTCCCCCTCCGCCACCCTAATTGCCTCCACCCTCGCCGATGACGGCAGCTCCCCATCCGTCACCCCGACTACCTATGCCCTCGACGCCGATGGCAGCTCCCCCTCCACCGCCTTGACTGCCTCCGCCCCACCCCCCGTCAACCACCGTAGAGGAGGTGCGCCAGCGGCTGCGTCGTCTCGCGGCGGAGGCCGAGGACAAGCCGCACGCCGGCGGCCGTGGATTGCCTCTGCTCGTCCGACTCCCTCTTTGGCGTTCCCCCTCTTAGTGAAAGAGAGAGATGGAGGTAAGGGGAGAAAGAGAGAGAGAGGGGACTAGGGAGAAAGTGGGGGTGGAAAAATTTTCAAAGGATCCAAGACACATCGGAGTTGGAGTGTGAGTTGTACATTTTTTTGCTCGAGAGAGGGTGAAACTATCAGGTGAGGCTCATCGATTCTTTTTTGGAAAAAATACGAATTACCCCCCGAACTATTGCGATCGTACAAATTACCCCCTCCCCAACCACAAAACTAGACATATTAAACCTCAAACTATTGAAACCAGACAAATTACCCCCCCTGACTCAATCTGGAGCGGTTTTGATCCAACGTGGCATACATGTGGCACCAACGTGGAAATCCAATCAGCAAAAAAAAAAAATATAGGGCCCACAAGTCACTTCTATCTGTGTGTGCTGTTGGCGTTGGAACTTGGACATGAGCAGCTGGGCGAGCGGCGGCAGCGCAGCAAGGATTGGAACTGGTCGGCGGCGAGCGGCAGTGGGCGCGCTAGGCGAGTGGTGGCGGGAGCGGCGACGGGCGCAGCTAGGCGAGCGGTGGCGGGAACGGCAGGGAGGGAGAATCGGTCCTCGGTCTCTCTCTTCCCAGTTGCTCTCTCTCTCTCTCGTGCAAGCACTTGGGCAGGTGGTGGCGTACAGGCGGTGGGCGGTGGCGCACGGGGACGGGCGGGGAAAGACTGGCGGTCGAAGCGCGGGGACGAGTGATGGGTAGAGGAGCATAGGGACGTGCGGTGGACAGCGGCGTGCGGTGATCGCGCGGTCCATCACAACCAGGAGGCAGTGCCGATTGCGGCGGTGATGATGAGGAGGAGGAGCCCGCGACAGCGCCGCGCGGTAGAAGCTCGAAGACAACGACGCTCTCGAGCGAGCGATGGCGCTCACCGGCTCATGCGGCTCCCAGACGGTGTGACGGGATTGCGCGAGATTTCGCCACCCGCCCGCACGCAGCCAAGCCACCATCAGCTTGCTGCTTGCCGCCCACCGCGCTCCCGATTGGCCTTCGCCTCCGTCGCCGACCACCGCCGCCCTCGGCCCCCCTTTGCCACCCCCAACTGGCTCTGCCCCCTGCGTGCCGCCATCCTCAGCTTGCCGCTGCCGGTGGGGATGGAGGGGAGGGGAGGGAGAAGAGAGATAGATTTGGAAAGAGAGAGAAGAGAGAGACAGAGAGGGTGAAAACTGACATGTGGGGCCCACCATTTTTTAAAAAATGCTGACTGGACTGCTACGTAGGATCAAAACCACCGCGGATTGAGTCGGTGGGTTATTTGTCCGGTTTGTATAGTTTGGGGTGAAAATGTCTGGTTTTGTGGTTTAAGGGTGTAATTCGATCGACTTTTATAGTTAAGGGGGGTAATTCATACTTTTTCCTTCTTTTTTAAAAAAAATGCTGACTAGAGTGCCACGTATTGATAGTTGAGGGCGAAATATATTTGGTTTTTGGATTTTAGGGGTAATTCATACTCACCTAATAGTTTAGGGGGTGTGATTCAGATCTATCTTTTTTTATTACTATGTGTGAAAAGAGTAAAAAATAAATTATTTTGGAACGGAAGGAGCAAGCCAGCAACGTCTCTTGTTGAGTCTCACGTGGTATAGACCCACGCTTTGACCACAAATATCAGAGCAGGTACAATAGCGGAATATAAGCTAGCTATAAACATATTTCGAGAAGATAAAAGATGAGAGAGAAAAGCAACAGGCTACATATTTGTAGCCAGCTGCAGCACGGATTTTAAGATATATGTGTGACAGGTAAGACCAGATATTAATTGTGTAGTATATGTTTATAGGTAACTATTGTATGAATTGGCTATTAAATTGACTAGATGTTTTGGACCCGACAGCTGGCTATTCGATAAATGTCTTTTCTCATACGGAACAGAAAAGCCCTAGGAGTACAAGGCAACAAGTACCACTCAAATATATAAAGTAATTTTTGTTACTAGCAATACCCATTTAAGGAAGCTCACATCAATAATGGCTTGAGAGTTGAGACGAAGTACCTACAATCTCGCACTTGTCCACACTAGGACAGGAGTACTAGCAGTAGTCCCCACTCACACAGTCACACACATCCGCCCCCCATTTTCCTTTCCTCCTCCTCGGTTCCTTCCTCCTCACACTTCACCAAAACCCCAACCAAACCAATTTTCCGCAGCCGCAATGGCCGGCACCGAAGAGCTCCTGGTCCAAGAATCCACCGTCCCGATCGTCTCCGACGGCGACCCTTCCCGCCCCGCCGTCCGATCGGCCCACTTCCTCCTCCCCCGCGCGGCCGCCGGTGGCCGGCCCCCGCCCCTGCCCTCCTCCCCGCTCTGCAGTGGCGGCCCCGTTCCTGACCACCACGGCCTCCTCCGGGTGGTGGAGTTCAAGGGCTGGGCTGGCTCCCCTGGCCTGTGGAGGCAGTGGGTCGACAGGCTCCGCCCGCGCCACGAGCCCCTGTGGCGGAGTGTTGGCATCTTGGATGCCATTCTCGCCACGGCTTACCGGGTACGCCGCGACGAGGGCACGCTGCTCCAGCTCGCCGCGTTCTGGTCCGCAGACACCAACACGTTCATGTTCCCGTGGGGCGAGGCCACGGTGACGCTGGAGGACATGACCGTGCTCGCCGGCCTGCCGCTCTTTGGCAAGCCCGTGCGGGCGCGCCTGCCGGACGCTCTTGTCGGGGACGTGGACGCGCTCATGGCCGTTCGGAGCGCCCTGCACCGGAGCAAGTACAAGAAGCCCTCCTATCCTGGGTGGGTGCAGTACTTTCTTAAGCGCCAGGAGGAGGAGGACGACGAGACGGCCGCCAGCGCCGGCGCCGACCTGATCGAGCACGGGGCGTTTCTGGCCATGTGGCTGTCGCTCTTCGTCTTCGCGGCACCGCCGTTCGACGTGGTTGGGCCTCAGGTGTTCCCCATCGCCGCCCTGCTAGCGCGGGGCATCCGCGTGGCGCTCGCGCCCGCCGCGCTCGCCGGCATCTACGGCGACCTCTCCGCGCTCAAGCGCTTCTTGGACTTGCGCGACAGGGAGGAGGAGGCGCTCCAGGTGACGGCGCCGATGCACATTCTCCACCTCTGGGTCTGGGAGCGCTTCCCTCAGCTCCGCCCTGCCATGGCGACCACCACCATCCCTGCAACCACTGATGCTTGCCGTGTGCCAATGGCTGCTCGGTGGCACGGCGTCCACAAGGCGCTGGACCCCCAGTTTGTTCATGGCGTGTTCATGTCACCGGACAAGTTTGAGTGGAGGCCATACGGGAGTCGCAGCATTGCTCTGCCACCCAAGGAAGCTAAGGCTGGCACTTGGGTTGTCCAGGATGTAATGACAAGTAATACGCTGTTATCCTTTACGCGATGTTTGCGCCAATGTGAGCTCGTCGGCATGGGCTGCATTGAGCAATACATCCGCATCGTGTTGCAAGGCAGTTTGGCTTTGATCAGGATGTGCCTGGGACGATTGCTCGCGCTAACTCAAACTGGAAGGTGGCATGGAGAACATATACGTTTGGCTATCGAAAGTTTGCATTGGTTGTTCCACACTATAAGCTTGGGGTGACACTGGAGTATGCGCGATGGTGGGAGCCATATTCGTTGGCTTGCTCTACTGATGTTTCTAACTATGCAAACACAAGAGAACCCCATTCCCTTTTTATTCCAATGAAAAGAAACACTGAAGAGCTTTCTGGGGCTAATTCTTGCAAAAAGCAGCATGTTGACACCAGTGTGCCTTTACCTGGTACCATGGAGGATCCACTGGATGAGATTCCTCTGATTGAGAGGCTAAACAATATAATTATGGTACAATGTGCTAGGCAAGAGCAAATCGCAGACGTTGTGAAGTATTCTGTCCCAGAGTTCATCAGAGGGAAGGATAACAGTATGATTGTGCAACAAGATGCTGAGCAATACTTATCTGATTCAATGAGAGTCTTGGATAGTTCAGCTGATGAATCATTTTGTGGGTCAGTCACCAAAATGGAACAACACATATCTCTCCTACAAAGTAAACAGAAAGCACAAGACCATGCCAGTGCCTATGAGGCAAACAATTTCAACTCTGGACAAGTAATGATACATCATGGCGTTGAGAGTGCAGCTAGTACTGGCAGTAATGAAGCCATTGAAGCTGCAACAACAGCTGGCATGCTGCCAACACCTGAAGACATTCTAGTGACAAGTGATGAAGTTATGATGGAACGCAATTGTGGTTATGAGCTTGATGCTGTCCTGCTGGGTGCTGCTCCCCAACAGCAATCAACTGAAGATATGGGAACATGCATGTTTGCATTAGAGAGAGATAATAGAGCCAAGACAGACAAGGATGAATTAGCATCTTTGAAAGGTACTGAAAAAGAAAATGAAGATGATTCAACATCAAATCAAGCAACAGCAGGTTCTCTTATAGAAGATTGCATAGAAATCAGCAGAAAGAACTCAGGTATAATAATTCCAATAACAGTTTGGATATCTTAATCTGTGTTACCATGTATAGTAACGCAAACAGGATACAAGTTGATATTTGCTATTTTTTGCCGGGTCGGCGGAATGACGCCGACCAAATTTCATTAAGATGAAAGAAGAGTTACCAGTATTACACGACATTACACGATATTTGCTAATGCATCCCTGTTTTTTTGAGCAGAAGCTAATGCATCCCTGTTATCTCTTTCTTGTAGGAAACAATGGCATTTCTTCTGATATTCTTGTAAATGCAAGTACTGAATTGGTCAGGACAAAAGTTTCTACAAAAACGCTGTACTATCTTACTAAAATTTGGTTGCTGAAAAATGCTCATGAAAGAGATGCAAGTGACATGAATAGAGATCATGGAGTTTACCAGCCAAGGAGGGAAGTTGGGACGAGGGAAATGATTGAGAAATCGTTTGCAGCTCGAGAAGCCCAAAAGGTTGAGTTGGAAAGAGTAATCAAACATCTGAAGGAACAATTGAGGGATAGGAACCCTTCAAAACTTGATGTATAACTTCAGTGATGGTCGTACTTTTGAACTCCTGATATTATTTGTACAGTTATAATAGGCTGTAGCAGTCTTGCTAGTGAAAATGGGATCATAATTAAATAGCCTGTGGAAGGCCAGTAATGAAGAAACTGCAGCTAGCACTCAGTAGTCAGTCCCAGTAATATATTTCTTTCCTTTCTAATTTTTTTAGCAAGACATGACTGAACACTATGGATAATGGATCCATTTTAATTACCAAGTTCTTGTTTTGCCATTTTGTGCATGAAGAGAGAAATTGCTGAGGCATAGCAAATTCTCTATTTAATGATTACATGACAGATGATATTGTTGTGGTATTCTCGATATTGCTCCTGCTGGCTGCTATTTTTCCTTAAATAAATGTAACTAACTTAAGTGCTCTAACTAATACTACATCCGTCCCAAAATATAGCAACTTTTAGTTATGAATCTAGACACATAGTTGTTCAGATTCATAGCTAGAAAATGCTTATATTTTGGGACGGATGTAGTATTAGTTAGAGCACTTTAAAATTAAGTGTTATAATAAACTTGACTTCAAATAGACTTCTTTCCAAAATAAAAGTATTTTCTTAGTATCAATTTAATTTGAGATTCGTTCGTCCTTAAAACAGAGGATAGGATTGATTTATCAGCTTGACAAGACATAAATGCATCATATATACTCCCTCCGTCCCATAATATAAGAGATTTTGGAGGGATGTGAAATATATATTATGGGACGGAGTGAGTATGTTAATGTATACTAGTACATCAAATATCATGATATATATATATATATATATATATGTGTGTGTGTATATATGTGTCTGTCTGTCTGTCTGTCTATCTATCTATCTATACACACACACACAGCGCCACAGACGCGCTACGGAATTAGTAGCGCTCCTCCTCTTGGTTTTGCGTTTTCTACTAGTCCACCTCCTATCTCTTTCCTCTGTTTTGTTCCCACCCCTCTCCTATCTCGAGTTAAAAAATTACCGGCTACCTCACAGAGCACCGCATTTCCGGTTTTTTTGGTTTTTCCTCGCTGACGTGCCAAAGTACTTCCTTCTTCTTGTCTCCACGTGGCCTTCAATATCGGTTCCCACCATAAGTAAAAAAAATTACTGAGTAAAAAAGTTACTAGAGTAAAAAAATCATGTCTATCTTTGCATGGAGTAAAATTTTTACTCCCGTAATTACTGAGCAAAGTCAGGGCTCGATAATAGTAGGAGTATAGTAAATTTTTCACTCCTGTAAATCTTTTGCATTACTCTCAATTTGTTTGCAGTAATATTTTTATTACATCAATTTTTGTAGTTATTTTTGTTAGTAATAAATTTGCTTAATCATTCCATATTGAAAAATGTGTGTAAAAATGTTCAGTCATTAAAATACGAGTATCATGTTCCTTTTACGTGCATATTAACACATACAATCAAGATTATGATGCATATTATTTTTACATTCACTCATCCATATCAATCATTAAAAAAAATCTCCCGGGTAAGAAACTACATAACATACAAGGAGGAGAAAAAATACACATATCCCATGATTATATATACAAGTGAATATATGTATATAAAATTTCAATTATTGCAATACGTGGATAGCAGTTTTTTTTTACCACGGACTTTATTACTATTAAAAATCAAAATCTCACCGGGTCAAAAACTTACACAGATGAAATATCAATAGTTATTTTTTTACTGATAGACATGAGTACAGAGAGGTCTATTGACCACGACGTAGTATGATAGAATTGAACCATTAAAAACAGTAGTTATGTTTTTACTCCACTGTCAACTGTTATAGGAGGGAAAATATGTGGTGTAAATTATATGTGTAGTGGAAATCTAAAAACTACTATTAGCTTGAAAAATAGACATTTAAGATTTGTCTATGTTATCATGAGTAAAAATTTTACTCGCAAATTTACTCATGAGTAAAATTTTTATTGGCAGTTAAACTTTTACTCATAGTGACGTGGACGAATCTCATATATCTATTTTTCGATTCAATAACAGTTTCCAGGCTTTTATTGTATATGTGGTTTGCATTACATATTTTTCAGTCTACATGTATAGTGAATCACATCACATGTATAAAAAGGGTTACACGTAATAAAATTTTTTACTCCACTGTGTTGAATCACATGTATACACACGGGAAGAACGAAGGCATAGATGGCTCTCAGTGGCGTTCAGATCGAGAAAGCAAAACCAGCGGCTGTGGAGCTGTCTTCCTCTGTTCCCAAACAGAGAAGAAGATGAGCAAGGCAGACCTAGTCAACGCGGTGATGAGCGAGGAGGCGACGGCGCCGGTCTCAGCACCGTGAGCATCCCTATCGCTCCAGCGCTGCGAGCAGACCAGATGCCCCTTTCTCTCCCAAGCAGGAAACAACGCCGGTGGCGAGGAGGTGGATGTGGATGGCACAGATGAAGGCGGGCATGGACTGGATGGGTCCTGGCGGCGGAGACTAGAGACAGAGGCGGTAGGAGCTCCAATCCCAGCTCAGCCATGAGCAGTTGTCGGCGTCCAATCAAGAGCAGGGCTCGGTGGGGGACTTGTCCCATTTGGAGGGGCAATGCGCGGATGTGCACGCCGACGACCGTGCGGGGCTGCGTCGGAGGAAGGTGACGCCGACGATCAGGATAGGCTTCCTCTGCGCATTCTGTTGATGCCGGCGTCGCCCATCGCAACACGGGTGAGGAGTCAGATCCGGCGGTGCGCCGTCTCCGTTCACGAGCTGCCGCCTAGGCTCACTCTCTCGGAGCAAGCCACGTCGCCGGTGTAGGGAGACGTTGTCGCCCCGGTGGCCGATGAGGCTGCCGGCTGCCCCTAGATCCGGAAAAAAAAGGATTGAGATTGGAGAGTGAATGGGACAGGTTGGACTAAGCAAGTCTCCTCTCTAGCCATGAGCCTGGAGCGACGCCACCATAGACGTAGGGCCTGTACCATACAGCTCCAACTCCTAAATATAACTCCAGTAGTTGAGTTTGGAGTGGAGTTGTGGAGCTGCCTAAACCCAGCTCCACAACTCCAGTATATTTTGTGAGAGAGCTTCATCCAACTCCACTCCTAGTTTTGGTGGAGCTGTAACTGTTTGGCTGAGCTCTAGCTCTAGGAGGGGTGGAGCTGGAGCTAGAGCTGTGCCAAACAGGCCCGTAGAACACCGGCGGTTTAGGCGGAAAGCGGAGTAGCCGGAGGCCACTGCCGGTCAGATTCCGTGAGCACTGCCTGCTCCACGCCAGCCAGTCCCCGTCTAGTGCCCGGATGCGCCATCGATCGCCGGCTCGCCGCCTGCATATTGGAGGTTTCCGTCAGCCGTCGTTGCCTGCTCACTGGAGGCCTCCTTGTCGATGTCAATGGTGTCGCTCCTCTCATCGCTGCCGTGGATGCAAATTGCTAGATCCGAAAAATTAGGATGAGGAATGAGAGAGAGAATAGGGAATGATTGATCAGCACTAGCAACTAATATAAATAGACGTGTATCATTAAAAACATTACTTATAGGAAGATGAGCAGGATGTGTGAGTGGGAGAGTTAGTGTAGGGGTAAAAATTTTATCCATGCAAATAGTGGGTGTGGTTGGGTGGTGTGAGGAGTGCCATTTAGTTAAATGGCACGTTATATATATATATATATATATATACA